TCAAGGGAAGAAGGGTGTGTAAAAGCACAATGGGAGTGCCTGAACTTATATCTGTCCTCATCTAACCCCCAGTCATTCACAGCGAGCCCAAACCAACCCACTGCACCACCTGCCTGAGATTCTGTCTCTCAAACTTGTGGACACAGGTAGGACCACCTAATAACCTCAGAGGAAAGCCAAAGGGGCCCAAAACTCAAGAAGAAAGGCCATTCCCAAGTCTTCTGTGACATTGCATAACATTGCATTGCTCTTAAGAAAGTGCACTAAATTCCAGAGATGGAAGGAACCTGAGAACACTTATATTGTCTCCTCTCCAACATCCTTGACAGGAAAAAGAAAGAAAGAAAGAAACAGAAACAGAAACAAAATGTAGCCTCTGCTTTAACACGCCCTGCAAGACGGAGGGCAGCGCTACTCCCTCAAGCAATGTCACCACAGAGCAATTCAACCATCACATATGCCCCCACCTGACCAGGCCCAGGACTGACACCACCCTGCTAGAACCCTTAACCTTTCCTGGAGTACAGTGGTTTTCAGAACCTGCAGCTTCCATTTGTCACCAAGATCAACCAGCAGTGGGCCCCACACCGGGCCTCCAGACCAGAAACCAACCCACCAGAGTGCCCCAATCTCAACTCTGAGTCTTGAGTTAACTTACTAGACATGTAACCTTGCCACTTACTAGACTTGTAACCATTACTTCAGGCCCTACCCCAAGGTTCATGACCTGCGGTCACCCACTTCTCCCAYACTGCTTCACTCCTGACATTCTTAAGCCAGCTGTGCACCTTTTTTCTTTCTTTTTTTCATTATTTTATTTATTTATTTTTATGCAGTGCTAAGGATTGAACCCAGTGCCTCACACCTGCTAGGCAAGCTCCACCCCTGAGCTACAGCCCCAGCCCTGTGCACTTAAAAAAAAAAAAAAAAAAAAAAAAATCCCTGCTTCTCATTTCCCTTTCCCCTCTGCAGGGCTGAGTCCAACAGAGGACTCTGCTACCTTGAGCTGCAGACACACAGACACTAAGGAGCTCAGTTTTAGATTTGAAGAAGAAGGTGAAGATGTGCCCAGGCCCAGGTCCCTGAAGGTGGAACACGGGCCACAGTAGGGAATTTCATCAATTCTGATCTTGCTCCCTTATTTAAAGCAACTTTGAGTCACTCCAACACCATTCACTCTCTCCATTTGTCCTCCTGTGCCCTCATCTCCACTCTGAGGAATAAATATGCTGCTGTAATTCACGGAGAAGGAGCGAAGACCAAGCCAGKGAAAGAATGATTAGTGAAGACAGGGGGCACCTCAGACAGAGAGGACAACTTCCCTGACCCTGTCTACCTTTGCTCCCCCATGCTCCTCAAGGCCTCTGCCTGTCTGTCCTCTCTCTGGCCTTCCCCAACCCCAGCCAGGCCTGACCCAACAAGTCCCAGAGCCACTCCCAGACTCAGAGCAATGCCAGAGAAAGGTTAAGAAACAGGACAGACTGGTTCCACCCCTCCTCACCCATTCCTAACCTCTGGATTCCTCTGGGGCCTGGAACCCCACCCAACCACCAACACCCTACTGCTTTCCCAACTATGTTTCTGGAACTTTCCTCCTCACAGCCTAGCCCCATCCCCCAAACATCCTCCATACCAATTAAATGTAATTCAGCTCATGTGAGGGACTGAACAGACAAGTGGACCATGGCCAGACATACATAAAAATAGAACTCAGGCCCCCACGGCAGCCATCCCTCCAGGAACTCAAACCTCAACCTCTGTTGCAATCGCCCGAAATGGACTTACTCAATAATAGCCAGCTTCCGTAATCTTTGCCCCCATTTCTAACTTAGGACCAACCAGAGAAAGCCAAATAAGTCCCCCTCACAGTCACACAGGATATCTGCTGCTAGTCAGCAGCCTCCAGCCGCCCCAGGCTGGACACACCTGCTGCCCTCCCTCAAGTCTCTTAAACTCTCCGCCCCCTTGCCTGCTTTTGAGACTTTGCCAAACGCAAGTGTCCTGGCTGACTCCCGTCTACAGCAAGCGCCCAATCAATAGCTTTTGCGCGAAGAGGCTTTCTTGGCATGAGAACGAGAACTCCTTGGAGTGATCTTTATTTCCAGTCACATTCCCAGCTCAAGCCACAAGCCCGACCCCCGAGGCTCTTAGCCTGATCAAGGTCCCATGGCCTGGCACGGGATCTCTGCTGTGGCAGAGAGAAGTGGGTAACTCTGATGGGCCTCCCGGAAGCCAGGACAACTGGGCTGGTTTTGAAATATGAATAGCACTGAGGAGATGGTTTCAGGAGAAGGAAACAGCAGTTCTCTTCCATTCTCCTCCTCCTTCCTTCCCCTTCCAGAGAGAAACCTCTCCTACTTAGAGTCCAGCTTTCCTTGGGCTCCATTAAATATCTCATTGATTTCTGCATTTTCAACTTCTCTCCCTCTCTACTGAATAATTCCTCTGTGTAAAATATGCTTAAGTTGGCTTTACTCCACTCTGACCTGGCCAGCCCAAACAGATGGTGCCCTCCTTTTCCTTTTTTGAAGAGTGCCCTGTAGCCGCAGTCTCTGTCCTCACTCTAGTGCCTCTGCATCTGGTTCTCACCCCCTCTGCTCTGCTAGCTCTGGGTTGCTGCTGGCCAGACTCTCAAATCCAAAGTCCTTCCTGAGTCTGCAGCCCCTGGCTTCCCCGGCTCTTGTTTCCTCCATACTCTGCGAGTCCTGTCCTCCTTACCTACCCCGACCTACCTTGGCTGCCGCTCCTTCTTCCCTCCTTACATCCACATCTAAACTTGGTCTTCCCCAAGAACCTGTCCTGGGTCTTCTTAATCTGGTCAACCTCAAGGCTTCAAATGACCTTCAAGCTTATGCATGGCACTTGCACCTACCTACTGGCCAGTTGTGACTCCCTATTGATTTCATCTGTCCAAAATCCATACTAGCACCCCAAATTTAGGATGTTCAAAACAATCATCTTTCTTCCCAGTCTTTTTTCTCCTCCCACAGAACCACAGATCCAAGTCACCCAGTCCCAAAACTTTAGTGTGTCATCTTCTTCCAGTGCCACTCCCACTTTCTCACCCACATCCAGTCCTCCTGCTGTCATTACTATGGATTCCATCCTCAGAACTGCCAGGCCAGAAACCCTGACCACTGCCTCAGTGAGCTCTAAGCCCCCAGGCTTTCTCCCCCATATTGTCCACTATCGAAAAACCAGTCACACATAAAACCAGATTCTCCAGGACTGGAAAAGGAAGGAGGCTTGCTTCATCAAGAGAGGAGGCTCCATCAGGCATCCATTTCCTGGAATTCACCCCACCACCTTTACCAAGTTGCAGGTGGACTGGGGAGTAGCTCAGGGGTAGAGCACATGCCTAGCATGGCCTGGTTCAAACCCCAGCACACACATACAGAAAAAGTTACAGGTGACCTTGGGTACCTACTGGCTCTACCTACCCAGCCATCTTAGCCTAGCAATTCAACAGGACGCTGGACAATTTCCTAGGCTAGAGACTTCACAGGAAGATCCTGAAATGAGCTCCGAGTCTCTACAAGCTTTCATGGGCGCTGCTTTGGGAGACCCAGTCGGGGAAGGAAGGAGGAAAGATCACCAGGGGGTCAGATATTACAAAACCAGTCACTCCAGAAAGTTGAGCCATCAAGACAAACACCCACCAGTGAAGGCAAATGTCCCAAAGAGAACTCAGGGGACAGGAATCTGAGCCACAAAGGCTCCTTACATGGAAATTCCCATCATTTCAAGTTTAGTGTTTGGTAGTTATTAAGGAAAGGTGTGTGGGTGTGTGTGTGTGTGGTGTGTGGGTGTGTGGGGGGGTCCTTATACACACTTTTCATATCACTTCCTGTACAAAAACCCACAATGGCTCCCAGTGGCTTCCCACTACCCAGGAACAGCTACTCCAAATGCAGAGGTCTGCCAATCAAGGTACTTGGCCTCCTGGTGAGATCCAGTCTGTGTTCCCATTCCCCTTCCCATCCATCTGCTACAGACCAAGGGAACCACGGGCCCCATCCTGGGTGCCTCTGTGTGTGCTTCCTCCTCTTGTCCCTCATCTGGAATTCACTCACACATGAGCGGAGAGCTGTTTGCCCTCTCTGCTAAGAGTTAGCGCGACTTTGTTTTCCCAATCCATTATTACCAATCCTCGATGGCCCAGCTCATGGGGCATTCGTGACGCCACACCTCGCTCCCCTTCCCAGTAGACGTGATTCTCCTATCTTCTGACCACCCACCCCTTCWCAGAGCACTCGGATCCTTCTGCCTTCCATCACAGTACCTCCCCTACTTGTCTGAATCCTCTCTGGTACAGTAACTCCCTCCACGCTCGGTGTGGCGTTTTGCAGAGGAGGAAAAACAACACCTACAACACCAATTGCCTAGAAATGGATCATCTGCTTGTCTGCCTCCTCCAGATTATGAGCTCAAAGGCGGCCAGCCCTGCACACTCCTATCTGGGGCGGAGAAGCTATTCAAGGACCGTGTAGTCAAGGAATGAATGAGCGCTCTTCCTGTAAACTTCCTCACCATATTTAGCATCCAGTTCTTCAGGGAGGTGAAAAAATTAAAGAGTAGAAAGTCAAGTRCTTGGGGTCAAGAATTTGTCAGGCAAAAGCCACCGCAGAGCCAGAAGCCCCACAGTGCAGCGGAACTCCCTCCCGGGCCCTCCTACTCCGGGTGCGGCTCCCCGATCGCGCCCAGCCCCCACCTCGCCACACGCCCCGGGGCAGCGRCCGGTTCCCTAGGGCGCCCGTCAGGCCGCCTCCAAAACCGCTTCCCCCGGCGGCCTGGGGCTGGCGTGGGGCGCCCCTCGTGTCTCTTCCAGCTCCGCCTTCGCGATTCCAAAACGCTGGAGCAAGCTCCACCTGCGCTCCACGCCCCGGCGGCACGCTGGCCGGCGCAGGGGCGGGGAAGCGTCCAGACGCGGACGCGTCCTCCAGCGCCCAGCTGGGGCCTCCCGGGGCCCCCGCGCCGCACGTGTCCCCGCCCACACTCACCGGGGGCGCTCGCCGCTCCAGTAGTGCCGCGGGCCAGGCAGAGCAGCAGCAGCAGCTGCACCAGGCAGGCTGGCGGGCGACCCGCGCCCCAGGGCCCCCGGCCCATGCCGCCGCGTCCCTCCGAGCGCGCCCGCGACTCCCCCTGCGGCCCTGGAGGCGCCGAGATAAGGCGGCGGGTGCCGCGGGGAGGGGGCCGGCCCAGTGGCTTCCGGCGCCGCGCGGGGAAGCGGAGGGCGCCTCGGGGTCCCCAGGAGGCCGGGGAGCCGGGGAGCCCGAGGGCGCTGGCGGGAGTTTTCGGTCGCGCACCTCCTGGGTCCCAGGGACACAGGACAGGGTCCGGCCCTCTGGCCTTTACTTTCGGAAAGGGGGACAGACATTTAAAGGGGAGCCCCAGACTGTGCTAGGGAGGAAACGTCCGCGGTGCGTGCACGACAGGGACAGAGGGAGGCGCCCCCCACCCCGGGAGGCCAAAGGAGAGGGGCGGGGGGCACCGGGAAAGGACTCTTCCAGGACGTGGAAGAGCCGGGATGAGGTTGCTGCGGCTCCAAGGGAGAGGCGAGAGGGCGGGAAGCCGCGGGGCCCAGCACCCAGAGATAGAGACGTGACCAGGTGACGGGACCTAAAGAGCCCAGCTGTGATGGCCCGAGGGCAGGCAGGAGTTCCCGCTGCTCCGAGGACGTCCAGCCTGGGGCGTTAGGGAGGAAGGAAATAACCCGCCTGAAAGATGAGATGGACGTGAGGAAGGCGAGAAAGCTGTGCTGTGAAGGGACAGGGACAGAGAGTGTGTTCTAGAAATGGGGTCGTGGTGCCGGGGATGGTGGTGCASGCCTGTGATCCCAGCGACTCCGGAGGCTGAGGCAGGAGGATCGAAAATTCAACGCCAGCCTCAGCAGTTTAGCAAGACCCTGTCTCAAAATATAAAAAGGGCTAGGAATGTGGCTCAATGATTAAGTGCCTCTGGGTTCAATCCCTGGTACCAGAAAAAGAAAAAGAAACGGAGTGGGGACCTCCTTAATGTGGGGAGCGGATATTTGGAAAGAGACATTAAACGGCAGCGGTAAACAAATCCACATAAGCCAAGTAGAGGAGGCTGCTGAGAAACTGTAACAACAGGGAGTCGCTTTATCAAGAAGTGTGCCTGCACTGTGGGGTTGGGAGGCCTGGGGGCAGTCCCCTCCGGAGCTGCTGCAGGAATTAAGGCAATACAAGAAAAGCTCTGGTAAAAAGAAAAAGAAAGAAAAAAAAAAGATATGTTGACATGCTTTGGAGTCTGGCATTGACAAGTGAGTGAAGAAGAAGAGAAAATGGAGTCCACTGGATTTTATGTCYGGAAAAGAGACATTTAAGTAGAATGTCTGGAAAAGAGAAGGAAAGAGAAATTACAGATGTCATTTAGATTTATGGTTTGGACAACTGGGGTGGACAGTGGTGGAAGCCACTGAGATAAACATCCAAAAAGAGATGCAGCTGGGATAGAGCAGGCTGCAGGGAAAGAAAGATGATCCTGAGTGAAGGCTTTGAGCTTGTAATGCCCGTGGGGCCATCCAAGTGCCAGAGCACCCACTACTTCAACCCATATCCACACTTGCTTTCTCTACCATGAGCTTGCCCTAAATCTTAACCACAGGAGAACACAGCCATATAAGGGCTGAACTTGTGCAGCCTTAAAAAGAAATTGTTAAAAATAAACTTCTAGACTCTTTTGTAGCAGACTTTCTTGCAAATTATTTTTGTTCAACAAAGATAGGGCCCTGCTTTGGAAAGTAGTAGATAGACAGTGTGAGTTTTGCAATTATTTAGGCCATTTTTTTTTTTTTTTTTGCTAAGCTCAGCTCACCATGAACTTTGAAATTATGAAATATTGCAACAAATTTGCCATTTATTTGAGACATTTCTTAACCAACCTATATCTCCATCTCCTATATACTCCTCTGTAAAATAAATTCAAATATTTATGCAGGTATATACATTTTCAAAATATTTTTTAGTTGTAGATGGACACAATACCTTTATTTTATTTATTTGCTTTTATGTAGTGCTGAGGATCAAACCCAGTGCCTCACATGTGCCAGGCAAGTGCTCTACCACTGAGCCACACCCCCAACCCCTACTTTTTAAAAATTAGTGATGTCAGGAAAAATTCTCCAAAACTTGAGAATGGGCAAGAGAAATTACTGAGTGTCCTTTCCGGGTGTTGCATCGGTTACTGTCTAGTAGCCATTCAGAAATGCTCGCACCTTCTCGGGCTTGCTGCTGATAATTCTGTTTCTACTCTGTAAGGGTAGAAGTTAACTTGTAGAAAACTGATGATAAAACAAAAAGTTCTTGTCTATAACAACGAAGATGAATATTTTTCAGGAGAAATATAAGTGCCTCCTTCTTTTGTCCTATATATCATATCAGCTGGTTAACCAGTTTGGAATCTACCAGCAAATCCATTTCATCATTCTCATCTTCAGATTTTCATTTGAACCTTAATATCTTACTGGTTCTTCTTTGAAGTCACTCTCTTACTGAGTTCCTCATTAATTAATTAGTTGAACAGAATCTCAGGTTTTAATTTTGTATTTGCATGAGTCATGTTTTTAACTTTGTAAATTACACTTTAGCACAAAACATGTTCTATATTCTATATTAGATTGAGTTATTTTTATGGGCTTTTTTGGCTTTTAAACAAATATTTTTGAAAAGTAGGACAAAAGCATCACTGAGCTTTCTGTCTGTTTGTTTGTTGTTGTTGCTGGAGATGGACCCCAAGGGCACTTTACCATTGCCATTGGATACTTCTTACCCAATGGTAAATTCATTGAATCACAAGATGAAAGATTATCTCCTGATAAGTATTTGTCAAAAACATTAAAGCAATATTGAATGAGTGTAAACTTGGAGCAGTGAGATTATTGCTGAGAAAAATTGTTCTCTTTTTGGGAGACAGTGGCCAATACACCAGCTTTTAAAAGAGAATCTGTAGCGAGTTCTTTCCTCCACAACATCTGGATTTTAATACTTCATTAGAGAATTTCAAGTTTTGGTTTCAAGATGGCATCTTCAGTTCTGAAAGTTCTTTCTCCTTCCTTCCCGATCCTGGTAAAATGGGGGAAAGATACACTGTGGACATACAGTATTTGTTGTTTGTCCCAGCTTCCTGTCTCAGAACTCCTAACGCCCTGGGAGTTTCCTTAGTGTAGGAGTATCTTCTGTTAATCATAATGACTCCTTTTTATAACCCCTGAGTTTATGCTAATAAGATTGAAACAGTTGGGGACCCCCATGAAAAAATAGGACCCCTTAAATTTAAAGGAATAAAATCTCTCACCAAGGTAGGGGGGCTAGTGAAAAAGCCAGACTAGTTCTTTATCTTATGAAAATGACCAGTTTTCAAGGCTATGGAGTTAAGATAACGCTGCTTGAGCATTCAGCTCAGCCTCCTGAGATGATGTGCTCAGAAGAAATGCCAAGAACTAGAGCCAGACAAGACAAGGTCACTGAAATCAAAGCCACTGAGACAGGGTAAGCATTTGCCCTGTTCTGGAAATAATATTAGGAACTCTTCCAGATGATAAGAAGCAAATTCCAAATGATGCGGGGCAGAAATGTGCATAGAATAGTCACTGAAGCAACCTATAAAGTCTACTTTAATAACATTGTATAAAACAATCCCAGTGGGGCTGAGGTCATAGTGCAGTGGTAGAGCACTTGCCCAGCATATGTAAGATACTGGGTTCAAGTCTCAGCACCACTTATAAATAAATAAAGATTCAGTGACAACTTTAAAAAAATTGAAAATGAATAACTACAATGAAAAAAGTATCCCAGTGATTCCAGAGGAGGGTCGCAAGTTTGAGGGCAGTGTCAGCAACATAAGCAATCTAACGAGACCCTGTCTCAAAATATAAAATAAAGGGGGTTTGGGTTGTGGTTCAGTGGTAGAGTGCTCATCTAGCATGCACGAGGCACTGGGTTCAATCCTCAGCACCACATAAATATAAAATAAAGGTATTGTGTCCACCTAAAACTTAAAAGTAAATTATATATGTGTGTGTGTGTGTGTGTATAAAAATTTTTATAAAAATTATATATATAAAAGAGTTGGGGATGTGGATCAGTGGTTTAACACCCTGGGTTCAATCCCCAGGGAAGGAAGGAAGGGAGGGAAGGGAAAGGAAGGAGAAAGGAAAATTCAGTCTAGCTCCTGTCCTTTGTGTACCCTTATCTGATTCTTTAAATAGTGTAAAAACCCATTGAGCAGGTGACAGATGACTTACTTGGGGTCTCTAGAAAGCTCAAAGATGGGGCTCATCACCAGAAAGACCAAGTGATTAAAGGGTTTGAATGTTCAGCCCTCCCCTCCAACCTTCAGGAATGAGAGGCTGAAGGTTAAGCTCCATAAAACTTTTTTTTCCCCCTTGGTACTGGGGATTGAACCCAGGGGTACTTTGCCACTGAGCTACACTCTTGGCCCTTTTTATTTTTTTAAATAAAAAAAAAAAAAAAAAGTTGCACAGGCTGGCCGGAACTTGCAAACCTTCTGCCTCAGGCTCCCTAAGATTACAGAGTGTATCACTATGCCCGGCTCTAAACTCCACAAAAAATCTTGAACAAGGAGATTTGGTAGGCTGGGTGTAGTGGCCCACACCTATAATCTCCGCACCTTGCGAGGCTGAGGCAAGAGGATTGCAAGTTCAAAGCCAGCCTCAGCAATTTAACAAGACCCCAGCCCAAAATTAAAAAAAAAAAAAAATATATATATATATATATAGACTGAGGATGTGGCTTGGTGGTTAAGCATCTCTGGTTTCAATCTCTGGTACAAAAAAAAAAAAGGAGAGAAAAATTTGGTAAATGTAGGGTAGATGGCTAAACTAGTGGAGGGGCTGGGGAGGTGGTATGCCCAGAGAGAACAGGGAAGCTCTGCTCCCCTCCCATACCTTCTCCTGTGGTCTCTTCATCTGACCATTCATCTGTATTCTTCACAATATCTTTTATAACAAACAGAAGTGTTTTCTGGGTTCTGTAAACCATCCTACCTACCAAGTCAATGACCCCATAATGGGAACATGGGAAACCAATTTGTAGCTGCCAGGCAGAAGTACAGGTCACAGCCTGGGGCTTGAAACTGTCATCTGAATTGGGGGACACAGGCTAGTGGGCAGTCTGTCT